GAGACTGCACCAGACAAAGGCCACACCATCTTGGTCTTCATATCTTCGAGTAATTATGGATAGCTCGTCAAAGAACATTTTTAGTTAATGAAAAAATAATGCAATGTAAGGGATTTGTGAACAAGGTTAATGTTAATTAAACAACCGACTATATAAATAATTATTGTCTATGCTGATAATGATATGCCTAGTGCTGAAATATTTCAGTTTAAGAGGTTGTTAGGCTTCCGCAGCATGCGAGTCTAAGCGTAAATTAAAGAATTTACTTTAAAACATCACTACAATAGAATATCATAGACGAATTTACTAAGTAAGCATTGAAATTATATATTATCTGAATAAAGGAAACATATCCTAGAGATGAAATAGTCGCAGATGAATGATATCACCGGAATTCAGTTAATTTAGTAGCAAATAGTTATAGAGCGACCGATGTGCAAGAATGAAAGAGGACATGCAGCCATCGCCAATAAGCAACTTTTTAATGTAAGTAACTTTAGTGTGCAGAAGAATTTTACCGCAAATTCAAACAAAAAACATTCGTTTAGAGTGGATATAGTGGAAGCATTTACAGTTGTTTGGATCATCAAGTGGGAAAAAAATAGTGTCCTGGTCCATTTTACATATAGCTAATGACAATGAAAGAACTAGATAAAGCAGATAACTTACTTGCTCTCTATTAGTGTCCCATATTTTAAGACACTTGTCAACAGATGTCGTAATGAAGAGACCTGTATCTACGGGATACCACTGGACGCAAATAAAGGAAGAGCTGTGAATAGCACTAGGGTTCTTTTGATTTTTTATCGTAGTTATTCTCTTATAACGAACTTTTTCTTTATTAATCAAAACATCTTCTAGATTATATATATCGAGTTCTCCTCCGAAGCCGCCCGACAGAAGATATTTAACTTCAACTTCGTCAAGAGCAATATCGCAGATTGGTCCAGCCTCGCCGAAACCGGTATCATAATTAACGTCTATATTGGCAATTAGCTGATCTACTTTATATTTAGATACTAAAGGAGAACGAGGAGCACCGAGCTCCCATCTCCAGTCATGCTTCATGTAGACGCATCACGCGCGCAACGGCGCGAAAACAAAAGCCTTATAAAATGATACTTAAAAACATATTTAAAGAATTTTATAATTACCTTTTTATATAAATATATCTTTTTTATTTCATAAAATACCTAT